GGCCTGAGTGTCAGGGGCTTTCTAGGGGTGTGGGACGTTTTCTTTCTGGTCTTTAATGAGACTCCTATGTGGGTGTGGGTGTGGCTTGTGAGAGGAGGGCCGTCAGAGTGGTTTTCGGGGCTGGCACAGGCCCACTGATCCCTTGCTAACTCATCCCCCACCTATCCTCTGTCCCCAGAATGCTCTGGACTTGGCCCCTTCCTCTCTTGTGCTTCCTGCTGTTGACTGGTATGCAGTCAGCACTCTGACCACTTACCTTCAGGAGAAGCTTGGGGCCAGCCCCTTGCACGTGGACCTGGCCACCCTTCGGGAGCTAAAGCTCAATGCTAGCCTCCCGGCTTTGCTGCTCATCCGCTTGCCCTACACAGCCAGGTATGGTCCAGCCTCTAACCTCCAGCCTCCAGCCTTCAAGCTCTGGGATCTGGTAGCACTGAGTCAACAACGACAGTCCTCCCATTCAGAACTTTGAAGCCCTTCCAGAAGGTGTCCTGTATGGCCAGAAAAGGCTGGAAGCGCCTCCGGCCGGGCTGTGACTCAGGAGTCGGTGCCCTGCACTGAACTAAGTCTCCAGAGACAAGGCGGACATGGGCTCGGGTGGTAGGAAGCCATCTTGCCTAGCCAGGACCCTTTCATGCAGCAGGTGGCAGGGACATGAGTGGGACTGTGAAAGCGGGGGCAAGGGATTCCGGGCAGGGTCATGAGGTGAGCAAAAATGTAGAGGGAGAAGCCAGCATGGCTCCTAGAGCTCCCAGCTAGAGTGTGCTGGGTGAATGGGGCTAGTAGGGAGGGCTGGTGGCATTGAGTGGAGGGCAGGCTAGAGGGGCAGAGGGGATGTGGCTAGGGGTGGTGGAGAGGTCTTCGGGTTGTGGGGGCTCTAACACTCTGTCTTTTCCGTAGCTCGGGTCTAATGGCACCCAGGGAAGTCCTCACAGGCAATGGTGAGTAGCGTCAGGAAGAGTGCACGTTTTCCATCCTCATCCAGCCTTAGGCCATGGAGAGCTGGTCCACAGCCCCTCAGCCCCTCCTCAACCCCAGGGCAGCTCTCCTGCTTCTTGGAGCAACCCGCAGCTGACCAGGGAAAGGCTGGCCCTCAGGCCTCACTTGTCCTCCGTTGGGCCCTTCCTGGCAGAGATTTCAGGTTGTCTAGGGGGCCTCCATGCCGGAGCTCTGAAGCCGGTTTCCACTCAGGCAGCGTGAATCCTAAAGTTTGGACAACATTATAAAAAACAGTTCTGAAGACTTTTGTTCTTTTTGCTATAAAATAGGACAGTCAGTCGTTCCCAGTGGAAAAGTCATTGGAAATCTTTTAGGGGTGGGTTGGGCGTTTCTTATATCCTTGTCATTTTTCATTCACTTTAGGTAGGGCTTGGCATTAGGGAGTTGACAGCTAAGGCCACAGGTGTCCCGGTGGGGGGGGGGGTAGGGATGGGCAGGATGAGAAGCAGCTGCTGTTAGGGATCCTCAATGGAAAGTGAAAACACTAGTGAATGAAGGTGGAGGGGAGCTGACTTTTCAAGGGTCTCAGTGTCCCACTACAGAGGACACGCCAGTTGCTGAGAGTTAGGGGGACTTCCCAGTGCAGACATCTGGTGGTTCCCACTTCAATGAGGTGATCTCATGGTGCTCAGTCAAGAGGGGGCACTCGTGTGGTATGTGGAAGGGCGCACAACCTTGCCTCTGCTGACTTCTGCCGTGTAAAGGTCAGATGGTTTCTAACAGGCCATGGGAAGCACTGCTAAGCATCCACCTGTGACCTGGTTCTCTGTTCTCCCCGTTGCCCTGCAGATGAGATCATTGGGCAAGTGCTGAGCATGCTCAAGTCTGAAGATGTCCCGTACACAGCAGCCCTCACAGCGGTCCGCCCTTCCAGGGTACGTGCACTGCTGCAGGGGCTCTGGGAGGTGTGGGCAGAGGCCACATGGTGAGTCGGCCCGGAGGGAGTGAGGCTCTAAGGGGCCTCAGCAGGGGCCAGCTTCTCTCTAGGCCAGTGTCTGGGGGAAGAACGTGAACTGTAAAGTCCTGCTTACTCCTCCCCGGGGTGGCTTTCCACAGGCCCTGTCAGTCTTACGGGCTGGCATGGTCAGACAGTAAGTCCAAGTATTCCTAAGTTGGAGGGGCTGGGAATGTCACAAAGGCTGAGGGGCCAGCCGGAGGAAGCCTCCTGGAGGAAGGGCCTCTGAGTGTGACCGGTGGGACTACAGATGACGGAGAGAGGAACAGTGAGTGCAGGCCACTTGGTTTGAGGCCTGCTCCCACAGCCGTTGAGAGAAGGCTTGTGGGCTGTTTCTGCAGGTGGCCCGCGATGTAGCCATGGTGGCAGGAGGGCTAGGTCGTCAGCTGCTGCAAAAACAGTCAGTGTCAGCTGAGATTCTCCCCCCTGTGAGTTATAATGACACTGCCCCACGGATCCTGTTCTGGGCCCAGAACTTCTCAGTGGCATATAGGGAACGCTGGGAAGACCTGACCTCCATGACATTTGGGGCCCAGCAACTCAACCTGACTGGCTCCTTCTGGAATGAGTCTGTTGCCAGGTAAGGGCAAAATACCTGTCACTTCAGGTGGGTATATGTGTTCACCGTGGGAATGCTGCCAGTGTCACGGGGTGGGGCTATTGGAGGGCCCTCAAAGTGAGCGTTGCTCAGAGTTCTGTTTCCTTGTGTCTTCTAGTCCTTGACTGGGACCTTGGCTGTTAATACTGCCCAGTCACCTGGGTACCTGATGCCTCCCCCTAGAGCAGCCTCAAGGAGACTGCACTATGGTGCATACCAGGCCTGAGCAAGTTCTGGGGCTCCCATACCCTCCCTGTGTGGCGAGAGAGATCGCCCTCACTCCCAAAGCCAAACCTGGGCACCTCAGTGACCCCAAGGAGGAGCTGAAAGGAGGAAGGGCGGTGGGTTTAGGGGAGCCAGAGGAAGGAGCCCTGAGCTGGAAGTAGGTGGCCTATATACTGGCTCCTGATCTAGAATGTGACAGGGTCTCAGTTTTCCCATCTGTCAAGTGGGGGCATCACCTCTTTAGGTGGCTATGAGGACCCAGGCAGCTTAGGTAGGAGCAGACTTGAGCACCTTGATCTAAGATGCTCAAGGACCTTTCAGAGCCTGACAGCTTGCCTCTTTATTCTGGTCCCGCAGTCTTTCGCTGACCTATGAACAACTTTTTGGTACCACGGTGACATTCAAGTGAGTCCAAGGAGCGGTCGAGGTGTGGGTGGACTGGTGTGGCTCTGGCTTCCTCAGCAACCTGACACCCCTGTGGCCTCCCCCAGGTTCATTCTGGCGAACAGTTTCTACCCAGTATCAGCCCGGTACTGGTTTACCATGGAGCGCCTTGAAATCCATAGCAATGGCTCTGTAGTCCAGTTCAATGCCTCCCAGATCACGGGGCCCAGCATCTACTCCTTCCACTGCCAGTATGTCAGCAGTCTTAGCAAGGAGGGCAGTATCCTTGTGCCCACCACCCAGCCCTCTCTCTGGCATATGACTCTTCAGCACTTCCAGGTAGGGACCAGGGAGGAGCCCAGGCTGGAGGTAGCAGGATCCTGGTAGAGAGGGGACGGAATGGGAGGCCTGGTCTTCAGGCTTGGGCTCCCATTCCATGGATTTGCACTGCTTAATAAGGTGAGAACCTCAGCCCTTACTGGGCCTCCCTCTTTGTGGGGCCATGTGGTCCTCTCTATCCCCCAGATCCAGGCCTTCAACGTGGCAGGCGAGCAGTTCTCCTACGCCAGTGACTGTGCCAGCTTCTTCTCCCCGGGCATCTGGATGGGGCTGCTCACCTCCTTATTCATGCTTTTCATCTTCACCTACGGCCTGCACATGATCCTGAGCCTCAAGACCATGGACCGCTTTGATGACCACAAGGGCCCCACCATCACTTTGACCCAGATTGTGTGACCCTGTAACCACTGGGGATTGAGGGTGTGATGGTGTACAGGTTGTCACTTTCTCACCTCAAGGCATGCTGGACTGAAGGACTTCCTTCTCTTCCTACCATAGCATGAACCCCCAGTTCCCCTCAGCCTGTCCTGTTCCTGTTCAACCCTTTGAGGGACTTCCCTGGGGCTGCCCACCCCATCTCTGTCAACAGGTGTACATATTCTACATAGATAGTAGACAGATCTAGGCTTGCTGATTGTGAGGGGAGGGGACATGAATTCTAGAGCCCCTTCTGCCTCCCCCTTTCTCCTTATTTATTTTCATGTCTCCACCATCACCCCTTGCTGTTTATAGTGCTTCTGTGTAGCGAGTGCTCCCTCCCCAGGCTTTATTGGGCTCCCTGCAGCAGCCAGGAGCTGGATGTTCCCTGAGTTGGGGGGTGGAAGTACTTTTTAACTCCCACTTGGATGGTGGTGTTTTTGGTGATGTGCTAACAATAAGCAGTACTCTGGGGTCTATTTCCGTGGCCTGAGAAGGAAGGGACCTCCACAGCAGGTGGGCTGGGTGTACTCACTGGGTTTCTGGCAGCTCCTGCAGGGAATGCCTAGCAGGTTCCTGGGGTGCTCTGTGGGTTTCCTTCCTAATAAAATAAAGACGGGTCGCCATGCTTCGGCCTCTTGTCACTCATTTCTGTACTGGACAGGAGGGATGCACTTGGCTGAGGGCTTCCTGAGAGGCTCCCAGATGTAGCTGGAGCCAAGGCAGGCGAAGGGGGAGACGGGTAGGCCTGTAGGGGGTCTACGGACTGCCTCAGGGAGTCAGGGCAGATGCAGTGGGTCTTTAACAAGGTGGTCCCCTAAGTGGCTAGGGTAGGGAGGGGCTGCATTGCGCAGGCACGAAGGGCCAGGATGGTTAGCGCCTGGGGATGAGTACCTGACAAAAGTAGCCGTCGGGTCCCTGTGGGACTGCCCCCTGCTGCTGCAGGGGCATGCGCCTGGCCCTGGGGGCCGCGCTAAGCATCCCGAAGGGCGGGGCAGGGCAGAGGCCCGGCGCACGGATCCCTCAACCGCAGCACCGGCCATTGGACTGCCCCGCCCTCCCCGCCCAGGTTCACTCCCCTCAGGCCTCTCAGAGAGCGGAGCTACACTGGTGCTGAGGCCTGGGCACTGGCAGCTCTCCCGGGAGGCGAGCAAGGAAGGCAGTGGCCCGGACCTTGCACCGCGGAGCACAGGGAGGGGACGGGACTCTTTGACGTGGCGGAGGGGTCTGACGGTGTCCGACACGCCGCCATCTTTGGTCCAGTGCTGCGGCGGAGGCTGTGGTGAAGGAGGAGGAGGAGCCGACGGCGCTGGCACCGAGGCCTGACCATGGATGAGGAATACGATGTGATCGTGCTGGGCACCGGCCTCACAGTAAGTGCGGTCTCGGGCGCCTAGAGCCCCGCATCACCCCCTCCTCCCTGCCGTGCTGCCGCCCCCGGCCCCATCCTGTCACTGCCATCCCTGGCGCTGTCGCCCCCGGCATTTGGGTCCCGGCAAAAAACAGCCCCGAGCTCACCCCCTTACGACGTGGCCTCTGTCCACCACCATGACCCTTTCTTTAAGAAACGTCCCCCTTTTTTTCCTAACCCCCTCGACTTCCTAGGCCCCGGCCGTCGGCTCCTTCTGTCCTCCCCATCCCAGTCTGCACCCCCCTCCCCCAGCCCTACATCCCCCAGTGCCCACCCCTTGACACCTGTCCCAACACATTGTCTGCATCTCTGGCTGGTCCAGCATCCCCTCCTATCTTGCGCTAATCCTGGTGAGGATGAAGTACAAGGACCGCGGGTCAAGGGGCCTTACCAGGGTGGGCCCATATCCTGCCTTCCCGGCTTTTTATGGGGCCTAGGGATCCAGGGAATCTTCCAGAAGGAGTAGCAGTGGGGGCAGTGATCACATTCCTGCTACCCCACCCTGGTTTCCCATGGAGATCTTAGGCTGACTGGTGCCTTCAGCCTTTGTCCTTGGGCTAGTGACAGTGAATGGTGAGGATGTTTATTTTCCCCCTTCCTTCAAATCCTGGTGGATCGCTCCTCTAAGAGACTCCTCTCCCTTGATCTTGGAGCAGAAGCCCCTCCCCGGGTTGGAAGACTCAGGGTCAGGGACAACTTGGAGGAGCCAGCAGCCCAGGGTGGGGCCTGCGATTCCTGGACCATCCTACGCCTTTCTTCCTTCTCTTCCACCAGCCCTTCACTGTCCAGCTGGGTCTCCTCTGTGGCTCATTGTGTCTTATCTGTCTTCCTACGCTCTATGTAGATAAGATCATTTTCTTGGCATTGTGGCTGCTGATAGTCCATCCGTTTGTCTGCTGGATGCTCTCCCTCTATGCGTCTGTTATTTTTCTTCTTTACCTCCTTGCCCCACAAGGTTATAAAGCAGACTGTGGTCAGATGAAGCCACTGCCCCCCAATTTTAGGCGAGGTGGCCTGTGGCGGGTGAAAGGAGGCAAGGAGCTGTCCATTGGTGCAGAGTCCTAGCTTTGCTGTCCTCCTCGGTTTGGAGTGGGGAACAAGGGTTACTGGTGGGAATGTGGGCAGGAGTGCAGCAAATGTCGCCCCTTCCTAGGAATGCATCCTGTCAGGCATCATGTCTGTGAACGGGAAGAAGGTACTGCACATGGACCGGAACCCCTACTATGGGGGTGAGAGCTCCTCTATCACACCCCTGGAGGAGGTGAGGCCGCCTGAGCCCATGCCCATCCCTTGTTAAGCTCTCGCATAGGGTGCTGCAGCACTCCTTAGGTTCTCTGGGAAAGGGGGAGTTGGGGCGAGAGGGGTGGTCTTAGAGATACCTCTCTTTCTCTCTTTCCTGTTTATAGCTGTATAAGCGTTTTCAGTTGCTGGAGGGGCCACCTGAGTCAATGGGCCGGGGCCGAGACTGGAATGTTGACCTGATCCCCAAATTCCTCATGGCCAATGGTGAGGGAGACCAAGGAGGTATTGTGGGTTGTGATTGGGACAACCAGAGAAGGGTCAGGCTTCATAAAAAGGTAGCCAGAGCAGATGGAGTTTCTGGAGAGAGCCATACTGATACTGTTGCCATTCCCTCACGGATTTGCAGGGCAGCTGGTAAAGATGCTACTGTACACAGAGGTGACTCGCTACTTGGACTTCAAGGTGGTGGAAGGCAGCTTTGTCTACAAGGGAGGCAAGATCTACAAAGTGCCATCCACTGAGACTGAAGCCTTGGCTTCTAGTGAGTGTGGGTCCCCTGAGCCAGGGAATCATGGGGGGGGCAGCCATTCAGAGCAGGGTGCCCCTTGCCCAAGGTCACATCCCCGGGTAGTACCAGAAGCCCCTTGCTCTGTCTTCTCTATACTGACCCAGATTGTGCCTCACACGTGTTGCCATGAGGGAAGTCTACATGCAGAGGGGATGTGGAGGGGGGACTCTTTCTTGAAAGACTTCAGCTTTTGACAGGGACTCCACCACCTGACCAGTGAAACATCCTCCCGTGTCAGAGCTGGAAGGGCCTTCTGAACCTGTGCAGATGGGAAACTGAGGCTGAGAAGGGCAGAGGGGTTAATCTAATGTCACACGGTGGTTAGCGGGGAGAACTCATCCAGGAGCTAGGGAACCTGCTTTCTTGGCCTGCCTGGTGGGAAGGAGAGGTTCATGTTCTGTGGTACGAAGGCTCTCCTCACATTGCCTTTGCAGATCTGATGGGTATGTTTGAGAAACGGCGCTTCCGCAAGTTCCTAGTGTTTGTGGCAAACTTTGATGAGAATGACCCCAAGACCTTTGAGGGCGTCGACCCCGAGATCACAAGCATGCGTGATGTCTACCGGAAGTTCGACCTGGGCCAGGACGTCATTGACTTCACTGGCCACGCCCTGGCGCTCTACCGCACTGATGAGTGAGGGGAAACTGGCATGGCACACTGCACATTGCCTGGCCTGCACCCTGCCCTCCCTTCTCCAGCCTGCTGCTCCCTCAGCCCACCATGCACATCTCTTGAACTCAGCCACACACACTCACCTGTTACCTTTTCCATTTGTTCTTGTGTTTAACCCACAGGCTTCTTTCCTCAGGCCATTGAGGTTGGGGGAATGCTGGCCTGGTGCCTGGGTGGGGGTGAGCTGGGGGTTCTGCTTTTGTAGCCTCTTCTCCTGACCCTGTCCCCCCAGCTACTTGGACCAGCCCTGTCTTGAGACCATCAATCGCATCAAGTTGTACAGCGAGTCCCTGGCCCGGTATGGCAAGAGCCCGTATTTATACCCACTCTATGGCCTTGGAGAGCTGCCTCAAGGCTTTGCGAGGTGAGGGCATGGCTTCTTTCAATTGGCAGTACTGAGTAGGACCAGGGCGAAGAAAGGGAATGGCCCCTTTGAGCATTTTCGTAGCATTTTATATTCTGCCATGCGGTCTTCATTTACTTTGCATCTTCCTTCGGTAGTGGGGATGTGGCAGTAGCGTGTTGAAATGCAGAGTTGAAGAGCCAGGCCACCACAGACAGGGCTCGCTCTGCTGCCTGACTCAGGCAGCACTATGACCACACTAGAGTACGTGGAACCTTGGGTCAGGACTTCTCCGGAGCCCTCCATTTTGTTTCTCAGACCATTTCCAAGAGGAGCTGTGCCCTCATGATACCCTTAGGCTACCCTTTGCAGGATATTCTGGGTGACAGATCTGGGAAGAACCATCAGGTCTCATGAGCTCTGCCTGCCTGGGGCAGCCTCCTCTGCATCCCAGTGATGTTTCCAGGGGAGGATGCAATGGCACTGGCGGGGTCTCCTGGGTGGGGTCCTTCACCATCACTCTACCCACCACAGATTGAGTGCCATCTATGGGGGGACGTACATGCTGAACAAACCTGTGGATGACATCATCATGGAGAACGGCAAGGTGGTGGGTGTGAAGTCTGAGGGAGAGGTAAGCCTTCCCCACAGTGCAGATATGATGGTCTGGGTGGAGTTTTTAAGAGGCTCTCTTCCCAGTGATCTTGGCTCTGCTGGGTTTGCTGCTACTCAGTTCTGAGGGCTTTGGGCTGGGTCCTGGAACTACAGAAGTCTGCATTGCCATTCCTGTTGGCGAGAGGTATCTCTCAAAGCCCATGTGCTATGTCAGTCACTGGTCCAGGGAGTGTCCCTGATCAGTGTCTCAGCAAAAGGGGTCACCCAGCCCTGCATATGGGGCGTCCCTCTCTGAGATGCAGGATGAAGCAGTACGCTCGCTACAGGACGGGCAATGGTGACAGCTCAGAGGAGCACCCTCCCTGCCTGCTGGAGCTGCCAGCCCTAGCTGTGGGCCCATTCCCATGACTACCTAGGGGAATGCTGGATAGAGACAAGGACTTTTGGTGCTTTTACAGGTGGCCCGATGCAAGCAGCTGATCTGTGACCCCAGCTATGTTCCAGACCGTGTGCGAAAGGCTGGCCAGGTTATCCGCATCATCTGTATCCTTAGCCACCCCATCAAGAACACCAACGATGCCAACTCCTGCCAAATCATCATCCCCCAGAACCAGGTTAACAGGAAGTCAGGTAGGCCAAGCCCCATGTCACTTCCTTCAGGGTATTGTCTTTGGGGTGACTGCCTCTCCTCATAAATCTTGGGGCTCTCTGCCTGATCCCTCTATGGAGGAACAGGGACCCAAATCACAGTTATCATGACATCACATTCTAGGGGTTAGGTGCCCTGGACTCTTCCCCTTCAGGAGGGTGGCAGCTTGGATGCTGCCTGCTCTGTGGAGCTGGGGAAGGGCAGGCAGGCCCAAATTGGGCCCACCCCCAGGAGCCCTTTGTGCGCCCATGTTAATGGATTGTTTCCTGTTGGCAGACATCTATGTGTGCATGATCTCCTATGCACACAACGTGGCTGCTCAGGGCAAATACATCGCCATTGCCAGCACCACGGTGGAGACCACGGAGCCTGAAAAGGAGGTTGAGCCCGCCCTGGAGCTGCTGGAGCCCATTGACCAGAAGTGAGGGGCTTGGGGGAGGAAGGGAGCCAAGGAGCTGGAGGACTGGGGGATGGGGACCAGGGAAGGGCAAGGCTGGTTGTGAGGCCTGTCCCCTCCCCTCCATCTGCCCCTCAGGTTTGTGGCCATCAGTGACTTGTATGAACCTATTGACGATGGGTCTGAGAGCCAGGTAAGCAGCCTGTCTCAGCCCTGGTTCCTGGCCGCCTGCCCAAGGCCCCTGCCCAACTCACCCTGGGCCCTGGCTGTCACTGTTTTCAGGTGTTCTGTTCCTGCTCCTACGATGCCACCACACACTTTGAGACAACATGCAATGACATCAAAGACATCTACAAGCGCATGGCAGGCTCCGCCTTTGACTTTGAGAACATGAAGCGCAAACAGAATGATGTCTTTGGAGAAGCTGACCAGTGATTGCTGACCCTCCCCCAACCCTGGATACCCTCTCCCCTGCTCTCTTCCAGGGCTAGGGAGATGGGCATGGCTGGGCACCCCTGTTTCCAGCATCCTCTGCGTCCCCCACCACATTCCTGTCACCCACCTCATTGATTCACTGACCAAATCCTTAATCTTAGTGATGGTTCGGGAGATGGGGGGGCGGGGGTTGGATAGCGTTCTCTTTCTTGGCCCTTACTTATCCTGGGAAAGAGGGTTCCCCTCCTTATGTGTGTTTCTTCCCCCTACCAGTGATTCTTCTGCTCTGTTTGGGAAGAACGTGGAGGAAAAGCTGACTTCTGCCCCCACTGCGCTTCCTCCCACTGTAGTGGCCTTTGGAGATGTCCCCTGCCTCCCCCCCACCAACTCTCTTATGTGTTGGAGAGAAGGGGCCCTCCCAGCACAAAGTTTCATCCTGCATTCCCCACCCCCGTTAATTTATTCTAATTTATTAACTTTTGCCCTCTCTGTCTGAGGAGTGCTGTACCCCTCCATTGCAGTCTTGAGTGCCCGGGGCTGTGGAGCAGCTCCCTTGGCTACCTAGGCTACCCAGGAGGGGAAAGGGCTTGGGTGTGGCCCTGTTGGAGGTTGATCTTATTGTTTTTGTTTTTTGTGTCTTTGTGTTTGTGTCTTTTGGTACTTGCTGAGAGAGAAATGTGAGCAAAGCAGAAGGAGGTGGGAAAATGGATCCAGAACCCCAGTGTACCCCCCCTCCACGACGTTCCCTTAGTGGTGGGAAACCCTTATCTTGCAAAGTGAATGAGCCCTTCCCCAACCTCTAGTGTATTTCACAGAAAACAAAACCTCCCAATAAAATTGTGTGGAAACCTAAGCCCAGATCCTCAGCTTTATTTTCTAAAAGCTGGGTGCTGGGTGGGGCCTTGGCTTCCTGGGATGTCATGCTGTCCCTATGAGTTTCAGATTCTGGCTTAGCTTGACTCTTGATGGCTATAAAAAGGTCACTTTCTTCATCAGGGAATTAAAGAGCTCCTGAACTGAAAGGGCCTATACAGAGGAAACAGGTCACATTAACCTGCCCAGGGCCTCCCAGCCAGTTAGTGCTGGCACCAGGACTGCAGCCATCAGGCGCCAGTGTGAAAGAAACGAGAGGGGTCTGGGGTGGGGGTTAAAGAGGAGGGAGCAGGGTCCTTCCCTCCAAGTCCAGGAAGTAAGTGGAGGCGGAGGGGACCCAGGCCATAGCACGTGGTCTGTTGAAATGGAGGACTTGGGTACAGTCTTGGGTGAGGATCAGACTGGTGGGTGCAAGGGAAATGAGCTGTCCCTGCCAGGGCAGCAGCAGGTGGCAGTCTGGCCTTGGGCTGGGCCAACACCAAGGAAGTGGAGGACCCGTTGCTCAATCTTAGGATCAACGGGAGGAAGGACTGGGGAACCCAGCCTTTGTACTCGTGTTAACGTTGAGGCATTGACGCGGAAACAAGGGAGCGGGTGCAGGGGGGAGGGGAGGGGGTTGAAACGGAGGGCGGAAAACGGGGGACCCTAGGCCGGCCTCCGGTGGTCTGTAGGGCGCCCAGTAGTCACGTGCTGGGGCGGGGCGCCCGCGCCTTCCCCGGTGGTCGACGTCACAGCGCGCGCGGGCGTCTCCTAACTGCACGGACGCCGGACGCCGCGGTCGCCGGAGCTGCTGACTCTGCCTGGCTGTTGTCGCTGTTGCTGCCACCATGGCTCAGTACAAGGGTGCCGCGAGCGAGGCCGGTCGCGCCATGCACCTGATGAAGAAGCGAGAGAAACAACGCGAGCAGATGGAGCAGATGAAGCAGCGGATCGCCGAGGTGCGGGCTGGGCCGGGCCAACTCAGAGCATGCGCGCTGCCCACTGCCCCCATCCTCTTGTTCCCCGCGCAACCCTGGTAGGCTGGCGTAGAGCGTGGGCGGCGAGCCGATAGGGCCTTCGCTTCCAGATGTCCAGCAAGGGGCAGTAGCGAGCCGGCGACAGTCTGCTCATCTATAAAACGAGCCCAGAAGACTGAACCCAACTACCCTGTGACAAGCCTCCAACTGGAGGAAGCAACAATCAGTGGTTCCATTGGTCACGATAGGGAGCCCCTCGCAGGCACAGGGCATCCTGGCTGTGGCTCTTGAGCCCTGAGAATGAGGTCTCTGTCCTGAGCCAATGGATACCAGGAACGGCAGGCCCCGGCCAACCCACCCTTTGCTGAGGCTCTTTCCAGAGCCCTTTGTGCCCCAGCACAGGTAGTCAAGAGCATCAGGGATGCTAGTGGTTCACAGAAGTCTTCAGTGAGAAGTCAGGAAGGAAGGAGTGGGCTTTTGTGGGAGACTCTTCTTTTGGGAGAGTGTGGACTCAGGACACGAGGGGTGAGCAGGCTCCTACCTTAGGTACTACGGAAGATGAGTCCAAGGAAGTGGCCCCATACCGAGTCCTGCTGAGGCCTCAATTCATGCCCCTTAGTCCCAGTGCTGACTCTGACCAGCCAGAGGTACATTTCTCTACTGGCCATCTCCTCTGGAGGCCACTGGCCAGAGAGGGGACCGGCGCTGGATGGGGCTGAGCCAGAGTGAAGACACCTCAGAGGAAGCTGTTGGCAACATTTGGAGCTGAGAGGGAGCAACATTGTTCAGTGAAGGACCAGGTTCCTTGGCCATCTTCATTCTCCTGTCACCCTTTGGCTTGGGTCTCCAGAGCTTCAGCTTAAAAGCTGGGTATGGAGCCCTGGCTGGTGTGGCTCAGTGGACTGAGTGCCAGCCTGCAAAACAAAGTGTCACTGGTTCGATTCCCAGTCAGGGCACATGCCTGGGTTGCAGGCCAGTTCCCAGTAGGGGGCACAGGAGAGGCAACCACACCAATTGCTGTTTCTCTCCCTCCCTTTCTCTCTCTCTCTCTGAAAAAAAATAAATAAATAAAATATTTTTAAAAATAAAATAAAAGCTGGGTATGAAAAACTGCAAAGGCAGGTAGAGCCTGTGGCTCCAGCTACTGAGGGAGCCCTGGTCCTCAGCAGGAGGTGGGGAGGGGCCAGAGCAGCTCAGAGGTCACAGGGAAAGAACCCCATTTGGCGCTCTCAGCACTGAAAGAGCCCCCTGCAGCCCTGTGGAACCTTCCATCAACCAAGGAAGGAGGGAGTTTTTTTTTTTTTCTCCAAGGTCATTATAGGCCAGGAACAGATCTGGGACTGGAGCCCAGACTCAGGTCCCCACTTCCATTGTGGGGGGGTGAGTGGCCCTTATTGCTACTTTTTATCACTTACAGGAGAACATAATGAAATCCAACATTGACAAGAAGTTCTCTGCACACTACGATGCTGTGGAGGCGGAGCTCAAGTCCAGCACTGTGGGCAAGTAAAGCATGCATGTCCCCTTTTCCTGGACCCAGAGACCTATTGCTTTGCCGGCCCTGGGTGACTGGCCCTTACCCCCTTGTCTCCTGGCCTCACAGGGCTTGTGACCCTGAATGACATGAAGGCCAAGCAGGAAGCACTGGTGAAGGAACGTGAGAAGCAGCTAGCCAAAAAGGAACAGTCAAAGGAGCTGCAGCTGTGAGTCCTCTCCCCCCCAGACTCCCACCATTAGCCGCCCTCTGAGATACAGTTAATGCCTAGAGTTGGATCAGGCTGTTCCTGCGTCTTGAAGGGGGACCTTTGTGTCTTAATCAAACCCTGCCCATGACCTCAAAGTGACCCAGGGTAGTAGGACTCCTCAGGGTGTGTACAACGTGGGCCCCACACTGAGCACATAGGTGTCTCTGGGTCAGAGAAGGGGTCTTGGGGTGAGTATGCAGCGTATGACGGCCATCCATACCATGGCAGGAAGCTGGAGAAGCTGCGAGAGAAAGAACGCAAGAAGGAGGCTAAGAGGAAGATCTCCAGCCTGTCCTTCACCCTGGACGAAGAAGAGGAGGTGGGCGAGGAGGAGGAGGAGGAGGCCATGTATGAGGAAGAGTTGGAAAGGGAAGGTGAGGGCAGGCTTGGGACACAAGGGAGGGGCCCTGCCTGCAGTGCTCTGTGCTGGACTTCTGGCTCTAGAGCGAAGAAGCACACTCACCACCCAGCCTTGACTGCCTGCTACATTTGTGGGCCGGAACCTCCCATGTCAGGGCAGGAGAGAAAGGGCCAAGTGTGCACTGCGTGTGAAGCTGAGTTAGGGTGGGGCTCACTTTCAGTGGCATAGTGAGTCCGAGGCAGCCGTGTGGTCCCTGTACAGGGGCATAGGGTCTCCGGTGTGAGTGGTTGCCAGAGCAAGCTGCCGTAGTTACCGTGAAGGATGGACCGAGGCGTGGAGAGAGTGGTCTAGGTCAGGCTGGCCGGCAGAATTTTCTGTGATGTTGGAGATGTACGTGTTTATGCTGGCAAGTGGCCATTGAGCATATGGCTCATGTGACTGGGGCACCAAATTGTTAAATTCTGTTTAATTTCAGTATAAATTGACACAGCCACAGACATTTAGTGGCTACTAATTGGGCAGTGCAGTTCTCAGCTGAAGGAACAACAGGTTATAGGGACGACTTGGGAAGACTGGGGAGCGAGGACGAAGCCAGCATGGGGACCCCACATGCCCTGCACCCGCTCCAGGCCGGGCCAGGGATGGGGCAGGTGGACAAATGCAGGGCACTGTCTCTTTTATGGGAATCACACGGGTCAGCATGCAACCTGCCAGGGCCTGGGCCAGCCCAGGGCTCACGGAATGTGCCCCATGGGGGACAGTTGAATTGGGCCATCAGGATGAGGGGAATTTCAATAATATCCAGAGAGATGGGGGGGTGTGGGTAGAGTTGAGAAATGAGTGAGCCCAGAAGTGGAGCAGCAGGAGGGATACACTTGAGGACTCAGAAGGGTACAGCGACAGGCCTAGGCTGGTTTAGAAAGCGTGATGGCCAAGGAATGGTTCAAGGTGGCACCATTCAGTGTGGTGACAGCCTGGGTGTGACAGCTTTAAGGGGAGTGGCTGAGGCGGTCAGGAGGAAGCCTGTGTGCCACTTGGCATTTCTAATGTTCCGGGAACCACAGTAAAGCGTGGGAAAAGAAACGAGTGAAGTTACTTTCAGTACTCCTTAGTGACATAAAGTATTTAGTGGCATTTGGTATTTAAAACGTTACCATCAGCGCATCATCACAGAAGCTACACATCCGTGTGGCTGGGACCATTGTTTTGGACAGCGCAGGTCTGGGAGAAGGCTGTCAACCTCACTGTGCATCACAGAGTTTCGGTGGGGCTTCCCTCCCCACAGAGGTTTTGGTTTGGGGACCTGGTAATGGGGTGCCAGCGTGGGATTTTTTTTAGAAAACACTCTGGGTGATTTGAATGTGCAGCCAAGCCTTAGAAACCCTGCTTTGGAGCGGCAGGCCGGAGTGCAGGCTTGTCTTCTAGGTCTGTGTTTCTCAAAGAGTGGTTCAGGACCCCTGGGGGTCTCTGAGACCCTTTTGAGGGCTCTGCAAAATCGAAAGCATTCATAATCATGCAAAGACATTCTTGGCCTTTTGCACACTCTCATGGATGTGCAGTGGAGTTTTCCAGAGGCCACGTGACATGGCATTGTTACTCTGACAGGTAACAGTGCTTGCTTTTCTGTTCTAGAGTGTTCAGTGTTTCTCAGGCTCAATTTCTAATTTGGTGAGTATTGATGGCTACTGCCCCCATACGCAAGACCTCTCTGGGGTCCATGGTAACTTGTAAGAGTGGTGAAGGGTGCTGAGACCAGCAGGTTGAAGAATCACTGTTCTAGGTCCTGGCTGGTGTAGCTCAGTGGTTTAAGCACCGGCCTGCAAACTGAGAGAGGGTTGGTGGTTCGATTCCCAGTCAGGGCACATGCCTGAGTTGTGGACCAGGTCAGGTCCCCAGTGAGGGGTGCACGAGAGGCAAC